TTGAGAACAGGTGTACAGAGCAGGTGGGGCCGAGGCCCGGACACGCACATCTGCAACAGGTGCCTCACATCTGTAACAGGTGCCTGAGGCAATCCACAGCCATCCCACTGACAGAGGACTGGGTCACGGGACTTCCATGTATTAGCCAAACCACAAAGCTGCAGCCTGGTTATGACAAGCTGAAATTCTCCTTATGAAGAAAGTAGAAGAACTGTTATGTGCTGCTAGTATTACCTCAATAATGCTGAATATCACTCCCCAGGAGGAATATAAAACACCCAATGCTCTTCATTTAAGGGTTTATAACCATAACTCAGTACAAGTATAAACCACATGAAGCTTTTAAAAGTCTTGTTAAGCCTAACGAGTTCACCCCTAAATAAACAGCTCTGAAATCCTCTTTGTGTTTCACAGAAATATTTTATCAGTGTCAATAAAACCAACCTAATCAATAAGATGTTGTATTAAATCAAAATCAGAACAAAACCACATGATGAATAGTAAAAATACACCAAGGGTCACCTTTCTGGCCAGCCAAACCTCAAAGCAAAACCTGGGTACTTCTCTTGACCCCATGGTTTAAGGTTAAACTAGGAAAACATGCAGATAACACACGTTTTAAATTATGTTCAGGGTCGTGTAGACATGCACAAAACTAACTCATCCTCTTAGCTAGTGAAGGTCAGTATGCACACTCAGTGCGTGTGTGCGTCTGTGTGTGTGTGTGTAAAACTGTTCAGGCTGCTATTAACAAAATCTATAGACCAGGTGCTCTAAAGAAATACACACTACTTCCTCATTGTGTCCTCAGAACAAAAGACCCTAAAGTTATTTACCAACCCCAGAATGGGGACCCCCACTCAGTACCTCAGTGAAACCTATGTCCTTCTTCAAGGGTGTCTGGCTTCGGCATCTGAATACAGGAAAACACAAACATCTACAGCATACGTGTGCAGGTTCAGAATCCATTTCATTAGCCACACATCCTCTTTCCCAAACATGCTCAAAGCCATTCTGTGTATCACATGAATTCCAGTTCAAAGCAACAGACCCTATCAAGTCTGCTGGATAGCATCGTATGAGCTTGGCCACTGAGGCCAAGGGTCAGGAACTTAATCATTCCCACTTGGGCCTGTTGAAAGGAGACAAAATTTCAAAAGCTTCAGTCACAAGGACACAATTGACTCTCACCTGCAGCACTAAAAAGATATTACCCGAAGGACAGGGTGGATGAATGAATGAATGAATGAATGAACGTACGTACTTCCAAAATTAGAAGGAGCAACACAGGATACAGTCACCTGATCAAGAAATATTGTTTTGTTAAGAAAGTCTTTGCTCACTCTGCTCTAACTGGCCAGGCAAGGGAGGGAGGTTGCAGCCTGTAGCCATGTGACACTACTGCGCCACACACTCTTTTGGCATCTCTCTAGAAATTCAACTTCTCTTCCTGTCTCTGCAACCAAATACTAGGCTGCACATCTCTCTGGAAGGCCAAAATTCAATTTTTCATTCCAAGTGAACTCAAAAACTGCCTTTTGTCATGTCTCCAAATGGGGTCCTCACAGGTGCTCCCTCCCAGAGGGTCCCCAGTCCCCAAGGACTCTATGTAGGGAAAGCCCATCCCGGGAGATAAACAGGAAGCAGAATCATCACCTCCAAGGTTCTCATCGCCCCTCTGCCATGCTGCCAGGATTCTTGCACTGGCTGTCTGTCTTATCCCCCTGCCTACCCTAGGGCCATGGAATTCCCTGAAATCACAATGTGACTTCAGCACCCGTCCCACGGGAGAAGCTTTAAAGATATCTGCTGAATGACAGGATATATGAGTGGGCAGATGAGTAAGCTGGCATTGTAAAGCACACACAGACACACACACACAGACACACACACACACACAGAGAGAGAGAGAGAGAGAGAGAGAGAGAGAGAGAGAGAGAGAGAGAGGAACACACAGGCGCAGTTCCCCTATTCAAGAAATACTGTTTAGTTCAGGATGTCTATGGAATGAATTCTGGGACTTCATCATTTACAGATCATTTGTATCTTTCTAAGACTAGTGAGTTGACTATAACGTTGATTTTAGCATTCTTGGGCAGTGCTTATCAAACCCACCACTAAAAGGTTTTTAAATTGTGTTTTCTTTCCAAACAGAATGTGGATATTTTCTGTTGATGGGATACAAGACCTGAGGATCTGCTACTGCAGAGAACCTGGAATGAGGAGCCCACTCGACTCCAGCTCTTGGAGACCCACACACTCTGCCCTACAAACACCCTGGAGGAGATAGCCCAGAAACGGCTTACCACAAGAGGCCAAGGGGTCGGGGGCTAGAGAGATGGCTCAGTGGTTAAGAACACCAACTGCTCTTCCAGAGGTTCTGAGTTCAATTCTCAGCAACCACATGGTGGCTCACAACCATTTGTAATGAGATCTGATGCCCTCTTCTGGTGTGTCTGAAGACAGCTACAGTGTACTCATATACATGAAATTAAAAAAAAAAAAAAGGTGAAATAAATTAAAGAGGCCAAAAGGATCTAGCCTGAAAGTTCTAGAAAGAGTGGGTGCTTCTAGATGTGGATTGTCACTCAGCCCGAGAATCAGGTACTTTTGCTCCCCTTTTACCTCGGGGACTTGGGAGTGGTGACAATCCTTAATTAATATTTTCTGAGCATTTCCTGTGAGTGGGGACCATCCAAACCTGAAGACACCAGTTAACCTTCCAGAGACACTCATGCGAACCCTCACAACCATTTCCAATTTTTTAAAAAATATTTTATTATTATTAGCCTTTTAATTTTGTGTACATTTGTGCCAGTGTATGGGTTTGTGCATATGAATGCAGTGCCGGTTGAGGCCAGAAGAGGGTATCTGATCCCTAAGAGCCTGGGTTGTAGGCAATTATGATCTACCTGACATGGGTGGTGGCAATCAAACTCAGTCCCCTAGAAGAGAAGTAAGCACTACTGCAGAGCAACCTTTGAGATTTATTTTATTTGTTCGTATGTCTAAGTGTATGCACACATGCATGTGCAAGTGCCCAAGGGGGCCAGAAGAGGGCGTGGAATCCCTCAGAGCTGGAGTTACAGGCATCTGTAAGCCATCTGCTGCGAGTACTGGGCTTAGAACTCCAGTCCTCATGAGAGAGCAACAAGAGCTCTTAACACCAGAGCCACGATCCCAGGCCCTACTACCATGAGATAGACACAGAGGCCAGAGCCGAGAACTAGAACAGAGCTTGCAAAGTATTCACATAGGTTATATACCATGGGGACTCAACAGACTAAATCTGAGTCTCCTGAAAACCTTTTTAAGATTTATTTTTAATTATGTCTAGTGTGTGCCTGCATCTGGGTATGTGTATGAGTGCAAGTACCTGTGGGAAGTCAGAGGTATTGGATCCTCAGGAGCTGGAGTGGCAGACAGTTGGGAGCTGCTCTTAACCACTGAGTCACCTCTCCAGCCCCATGACTCTGCTAAATTTTAATCCTCCTATGTTGGCAATTCTTTGCAGTAAAGATACAGAAAATGAATTTTTGCAAGCAAGCATTTGCGTGCACGCACAAGCACAAACACACACACAAAGTTTTCTATCCACTGTTTTGTAACTAGCTCCTGCTGTAGACTTTTCTGCTTTGCTCATCCCTTGCTTGCGACAAAATCTGAGCCCATGTCTCTGGTGTTAGCAGGTGCTATCAATTCTGAGCCACGCACAGGGATAAACAGCTTCTTTCCCAGAAGGCACTGCTTTGCTCTCATCTACAAAGATCCTTCCTTCCTTCCTTCAGACAAATGATTGGTTCATGTGTCATGACTCAAATTATATTCACAAATGTTCATTTGTAGTGTAATCATTCTTCCTAACAGGACTGGTTCAAGACAAATGAGCAGCCCCCTCCCCACCCTCCTCTCTTGAAGTTTACAATGCACCACCCTCCCTCCCGCCATAAAGTGCTACCCTGTCACAGACCACGAGCCACACTGCTGACCTCTTGGAGGTTAACTCTATTATAAAATAAGATGTTGTCTTGTATTGCTTTAAACCTTTCAAATATTATTTCATCAGAATCAGGTTTTCCAATACAGGCTAACCCTGTTAGCTTGATTGCAGAGAGAGATATTTCACCGTCCCTGTCTTTAAAATATTTAACCATCGCACACGTGTTCTCTATCTCTTAATTTGAAAAGGAGTCTTTAAAATGATTAGAAGAGCATTAGAAGGAGCAAGACAAATTATCTCTCATCCCATCCCTCTTTTCAAGCTGGGCGGCAGAAGTGTTCAGAGAATGAAAGTCTCTTCGAAGGAACTCTAGTCCCCCACACCTTGCCGCCCTCTGGCTCCAACACACACTCGCCGGCAGTGGCTCCACTTTTCCATTTGGGTCACCAGCTGTAATCTACAAGCACAAAAACAATCACGGCACAGAATACAGGAAACTGCCCGGGTGGGAGTGAGGTAGGGTGTGAGGATGAAAGTCTTTGCCCTTCACACACTCCCCACGTACTCCCATAGAAACTCCCGATCCTCCTGAAATAACAGAAAAGTTGAGCCGGCTTGGAGAAAATCTTTTCGCTTTTTTCAGTTCAAAGAGCACGAGACCCCGAATAGACAGAGAGAAGCGCGGCCGGGTGGGGGTAGGGACTGCATACAAACCCATCTCCCCGAGTCCTTCATCCACCCCAGATGTGGTGTTCCCCCACTCCCCGCCCACCTCCTCTCCAGCCCTCACCCCTCTGCACCGGCCACAAAAAAATGCAGCTCAGGTCTGAGATGCAGCTGAGGTCTGTGGCCGGTGAGCCCCACGCGGCACGGACCGGAGCTGGCGGGGACCTCTACAGCTCCCCGGGAAAACGCGCTTCCAGGCTCAACTTCTTCCACGTCTACGGCCGGACCGCGCTGCAGCGGCTCCTTCCCGCCCCGGCACCCGCCGCCTGTCCCTCCGCGCCCCCGTGCGCTGTCGGGGACCGGCCCCCTCCCGGGCTCCCCGCGCAGCGCCTACCTGGCCAGGGCAGCAGCCTTCCCCAGCCGGGCTCTCCGTGCCGCCTCCTGGCTGCAGCCTCAGTCTGGCCCCGGCGGACCCGCAGGGGCGAGGGCGGGAGCAGACGAGGGTCGGCGGCGCCGGGGCGGAGGCCGAGGGGCGGGCGCAGCGGGAGGAGGCGGCCGAACCTCGCAGCCCAGGCCGGCCGCTGCCACTCAGCATCCCCGCCTCCGGCCGCCGCGCGGGGAGGGGTCGGCGAAGCCCGGCCTCCGGGGGGAGGGTCCTGCAGGGCCCGGGAGGGTTTGGGCAACGCGAGGTCCCCGCGAAGGGGTCCCGGAGCCCAGCGGGGTCCCCTCCCCACGCACTTTGGAGGAGCTGTCTGAGTGCCGATGATCGTAGACCGGAGCCGGCGGGACGGGAAGAACGTCGGTCCGCGGCCCAGGAGAACCTCAAGCTGGAGAGAGGCTGGAGGCACAAGTTTACAGGTCCTGCTGTCTACTTAGGGAAACTGCAAACTTTCAGAGTATTTCCAGCTTGGATGCTTGGGTCCAGACATCCTCCTGGCACTCCGGATACACTTTCCAATGGATATCATGAATCTCTCAGGCATTTTAGCCAGTGTGAAAGGGATCCAGAGAGACGACTCACCAACTCCTCTCACCACCGCCCTCACGGGTAGGAGCAACGGACAGAGTCAAATAGCCAGAGTCAAATAGTCAATTCTGAATGGTCTGAATTCATTGTGTAAGGACGGAACAAGACAAGAACACCTTCCTTTGTCTCCAGCCACTCCCTCCCGTCAAATTTTCTTCAGCCCCCAAACTCTCAGACATTTGTCTATCCACCGATGCACAGATCCAGTCAATCTGGGTGCCTTCTCCTCACCCCTGGCCCTCATTCCCCCCACCCCCACCCCACTCCCCCTCACCCTCCGCCAGCAGTTTGCATGTGCTTTTTGCTCTTGAAGTCTTTGCACTTGACCTGTCAGCTTCTGTGGCCTCCTCCTGCTTTTGAAACATCTCTGGCTGCAGGCACTGCACCTATCTGCACAGCCTTACATGTATGGTTAATGGCTCTAGAACACCACTCAGCAGGCCACTTCCTGTATGAGAAGGTATCTGAGGCATTTTACCAGGAAAACATAATAATAATAAAATCTTGAGTTCTTTGCAACTCCGTTATTGAAAACCATGTCCCATAGCTGACCTGTTGTAGATAACATAAGTCATGTGCGACTGCAGGTTTGTGGAGAAAACATACAAATGAAATGGCAGTCGGGATGCTTCAACAGCTGCAAGCACAAATGCATCGAGTTGCTGGTCCTCAGTCCAGATGGGATCCTAGAAGGACCCATGCCTATATCCACACTGGTTACTGATGCTGTTCCCAGGACATCTCCCACGGTTGAATGCCAGTGGGGAAAAAAAGCTTTCAGGAAGACATTCTACAATGTCTACAATGTGTTAAATGTTCTCTCTATTTTGCTTAAATCACATGCTAGAAATAACAAGAGGGCTTATAGGTTAAGAATAAATTTAAAAATCTACATAGCATTGCAATCAGAGAATTAAAAAAAAACAGCAAACATTCAAAAGAACATACTAGCAGAGTTAATAAACTGTGCTAAATTCCTAATAAATATTACAGAAAAAAAAAAACAAGACAATGGAGGGAATTATGGGAGAGTTGTTTGAGGTCAATGAGTTGAGAAGAAACCCAAAACAAATTGTAGAAACAGAAACCTTTGCCTTGTACTCTCTTCCTATGAACCCTCCCAGGTTATCACTCATGGCTGAATCAATCAAAGAACACAGAACAGATAAACACTATACTGTATATTCACAACACCTTCCCAGCCCCACCCCCACCCCCACTCAGGCAGCTGTTGTCCATTGGCGGTACCAAATGTGTCAGGAGCATTTGCATATGAAGCAGCACTGCTACCTCCTTTATTAGCAGCCTTCCCTATGTAGAAGCAGTCATGGATGAGGTCATTTGTTATGCTTTGCAGAGACATCCTTGTGGGTCCACATGGCCCTATGCGTACAGAGTAGATAATAGCACTGTACTCCACACATCTGTTGAACTGTTATCTATGGCTTATGACAGAGGCTATGGCAAGCATAGAGACACATCAGTGAACGAGAATAAGTGTAAAAATGGCTTCCCTTGTGAATTGTGGGTACTTAAACGACAGACACATCACTAGTTGTTTTGTGTCATTTGGTGATATCATATGTATTTAGCTTGAGTTGGTGCCTCATCTATGTTTCGATTTCTTTGAAGGGCACAGTCTATAGCTTACAAACTCTGCCTTCACATCTCCCGCAGTGCTGGTGCAGAAATACCCATTCAGATGTATAAATTAAGGTGTTTATGCTCAGTTGACTGGGCTATGGTTCAACTCTGTGTTGAATTCACAGAAGAGTCACCTGGGAAATAAAATACTGTTTTGTTTTTGTTGTTTGTTTGCTTGCTTGCATTCTTTCACAACCATGTGTGCAGCTCCTTGGGCTAACATCGAAGCCAGTATTTGCAGATAGAATAATATGGGTCTGAATGTTAGATAAAATTACACTTAATGGGAAATTAAGGACCTGACAGCACATTGCAGAACAACACAAAGTATCCATTAAAGCCGGCAGAAAGGGCACAACAGAGAAAGACACCTGAGTGGAGCAGCCCTAGGATGTGTCAGTGCTGCTCCTGTCACATGCTTGAGTCAAATTAGGAAAAAAAAGAAAGAAAGAAAGACTGGAAGGCATGAGTGAGGAGGAAATTAAAGAGTATCTACAAAGGCAAATGACAAGGAGGCCTTGGAGGAAGATTATTGTGAACCACTTGGATAGGTCATAAGGTAAATTACAGTGGTGCTGGCTAAAAAACATGATTGCAAACTGCCTTGCCTGTGCAGATGTCTCTACTCTGAACATCTGGACAGGACACCCTAGAGAGTCTTTCATGTGCAAACTCTCTACATCATTTTCTTTCAGGGGAATCAAGATGGTATCTAAAGAAAGAACACAATCATCTCAGGAAGGTGGTCCATTTCCCTGATTATCAGTGTATTGGATATCGGTCAACTTCAATTTCCCTGGTTATTGTAAAAATCAACTTCTTAAATGAACCCCAAACACACACAACTGTCAAAGATTGATGGTTCCCAAAATTATATAATTATAGAGGCACAAATTTGAAATCTATTCCTTTGGAAGATCTTGAACAGAGGTACTTAGTGGATTTAGGCTTCGAATTCCTTCCAAAAATCAGGCAGAGTTGCAGGTCTGCTGCGGGCTCTGCAAGGAGCCAGGCTGAAAACTGATCATTCTGGCCTCTCGCCTCACAGATGTAATTATATAAATAAGCTATCTGAAACTTACACATCTATCATTTTCTTCTACCAATAAGCATTGAGAAAAGACAAGTTTGAACACCAAGACCTAAAGGGCTCTACTTTGGTAAAAAAAAAAAAAAGAAGAAGAAGAAGGAGAAGAAGAAGAAGAAGAAGAAGAAGAAGAAGAAGAAGAAGAAGAAGAAGAAGAAGAAGAAGAGGAAGAAGAAGTCAGCACTTCCTGAGACAGAGGCCACCTTGTGCACCTTGTGACCACGGAAAGAGCATACTCAGAGTCCCAGAGAGACTAGGAAATACCACATCTCAACTTCAGCCCTGGCATGGCAGGTTTTAAGACAATGATAAAAATTAAGTGTATACACAGAAAGGGAACTTTTTTACTTTTCCAGAAATTGCGTCACCAAGGTATGCAGCTGCCAGTTAAAGAAAGCCAACAAAGATGTCTCCAATAGGCAACAAGCATCACAAGTTTGGATGGACACATCAAAGTCAGGAAAATAGGGGCACATCAGACAGGAAGGGCTATGGGCTCCTCAGGAAAAAAATTCTCAATGGAGACTGAAATCTGTGTGACAGACTCCCTAATTCCTCATGGATGTGTTAAGGACACAGGCCACACTCCAGTCCAGCCAAAGAAAAACCCAAACTTTGGGCATTTGCACTCTTCCTGGAAGAAATGAGGGCTGGCAGGTAAGCTCATTATGCAGCCACAGCCTCAGATTTTTTTCTGAACACCAAATAACTCATTTATTGCTTCATTCTTTCTAATAGGAGTCTGTGTTGCTGACTGCCAACTGCAAAGGGAGAGTAAAGTCGACTGACAAAACTCGACCCTGGAAGGTCTCTGTTGATTTCCTCCCAGTAAGTTACCACTGCAGGAGCACATCCACCTGGCCCTCACCCAGCTGAGGTGACCCTGGAAACAAGGTGGAAATATCCATGACATGTGAGCTCCGCCCCCATTCCCCTCCCCCTCCATAGTACAGCGCTATAACTTACATAAAAGCCTGTAGGATTCTTAACTGCTCAATAACGTGTAACTGTTATTCAACGTAAGATCAATTAACCAACTCTTTAGTCAGTCCTAATTTTTACCTTCAGACATTTTCCTGGATTGCAAAACCTTTCTCAGAAGAGTACAAAAATACAAGAAGCCTGCGGGGATTAGCTGTCAACAGTCTTCATGACAGGCACCCAACCACCCAGAGATGCAGGTTCTCGCTGCTATGACCACACTGTGAGTGTCTGGTTTGTGACTTGTGTTTCCCAGCATGTTATCTCAGCTATTATGAATCATGTGCTGCTTTCAAAACTTCTACAAGGGAAAGTTTTGCTCTTCCCCTTACAGGCACCTACAGTAAAATTTGGAAGCATACTTAGCATGAGTCAGTAGCCAGGCTAAAAATGAGACATTGGTAAAAACTAATGCTGTTTATTTTTGCAATGCAAAAAGGATATATGTCCTTAATTTGACCCAGATTGAATACGAATATATATTATATCTATAAAATATATTTACATACTCACATATACGAACAATATATGTGTGTGTTTGTGTGTGTGTCATCTTTTATGAGAGCTAATAAAGATTGCATGGTGACTGCATTAAGTCCTTCAGAGGCCAGTCTCTCCAATGACTTGATAACTTCTTACCAGGTACCATCATCTCTCACAGTGCTACACTGGGCTCCAAGCCCCCAACACACAAATC